GCAGAAGACCCGGGTTCGATTCCCAGCACCCACATGGCAGCTACGAACAGTCCTTAACTCCAGTTCCAGGTGAATCCAAAGCCCTCTTCTGACCTCCATGGCATTGCACGACACGGGTGCACTCACATACATGCAGGCAATACACTCATACACATAAAATAAAAATAATAAAATATAAAAAATAAATAGTAAAAATTATTTAAAGCAAAACAAACACTGTCTTTTCATAATATATCATCTATGTAAGTGCTGGACTATATAAGACAACACTAACATCACCTGATAAAAATACATCTGAAAAAAACAGTTTTTCTGGGAGTAGAAACCCTCAGCTACTAAGCTGTAAATGTTCCTCTGAGAGAGCGTCAGTCACTGTTCTACTGGGACAGTGAAGGAATCCACTAAGTGAGCTCCTGTTGAGGTGAACCAAGTAAATTGAACAGTAACCTTGCCATGCATATGCAGGTTGTTACTTACAAATGCACAAGCTGACTTAATACAGTAATTTATGCTGCTGCTGCTGCTTCTGCTTCCTCCTCCTCCTCCTCCTCCCCCTCCCCCTCCCCCTTCCCTCTTCCCTTCCCTTCCCTTCCCTTCTCCTTCCCCTTTTCTTCCTGTTTCCCCTTCACTTCCGTGGCCCCTCATGACCGTGGGTAACAGTGCTGTGTGAGTGTGACTCAGTCCTTCACTTCCGTGGTCTCTCATGACCATGGGTAATAGTGCTGTGTGAGTGTGACTCAGTCCTTCACTTCCGTGGTCTCTCATGACCATGGGTAATAGTGCTGTTCCTCCTCTTCTAAATAGCCCATGTTTAGCCAAATCCTTAATAATTTTTACTTTCCCAAGAGCATTACCTTGAATGAAGAATTGTTTTCAGTAACTAGCTCAATTGCCCCATTTTTCATGTGCAGTGATTATGTAATTATTTTTGTAAATTAGATATCTATTTTCCATGCCTATATCTTTTCTTTCCAGCCCATTTACTTTCTACTGCTTCATATGTACCTGCTGTACCTTCAGAAATTTAAGTTGCTGTTAATGGTTTTTAACCTCATGTCATAGTGCTATGGCTAACCCCACCTCTGGGATCTAAATCTAGTTATCTGAAAATTATACCTAAGAAGGCATGATAATGTAGGTATGCTGCTTTCTAAGCTAGAATGTACATTCACGAATCTCAAAGAATGAAGCTGTAGGGCTGGAGAGATGGCTCAGCAGTTAAGAGCACTGACTGCTCTCACAGAGGACCATGGTTCAATTTTCAGCACTCACATGGCGGCTACAAACTGTCCTTAACTCCAGTTCCAGGGGAATCCAAAGCCCTCTTCTGACCTCACTTCCGTAGCATTGCATGACATGGGTGCACTCACATGCAGGCAATACACTCATACACATAAAATAAAAATAATAAATAAAATATCCAAAGAAAGAATGAAGCTGTAGATTTACTGAAAAAATCAGATAGGTTTTTCTGTATATGCCCTGGGACTTTAGACTTTTTCTTAAAAGTTTTAAGTTACTTAGTAGAAAGAGGAGGATACACAAAACCCTACTCAGATCCCTTTCTCATTCTTTCATAGGCATATGAGTAGGTAAGTCATTAACCCCTCACTTAGCTTTCCTCCCTAGGAGCAAGAATTGCTAACTTCTGGTTCTCGCTTTGTGCTTCTTGTCTTTGCTTAGTTTTTTCCCATCTTCACCCAACTAACTGATTTTGAAACATCAAGGTTTTGTTCTCTTCAGAGGCCTTGCAGGCCATCCTAGCCTGAGGGATATTCCTCTCTTAGTTGCCTTTGTACAGGCTTCCCTCTGCCTGCTTTATGTACAGATTGAAGTGCCCCTTCCTTGGGGTGCTCCCATTTGTTCCATGTCATAATTTCTGCCATCATTTAGCTCCATGGCTGTCTCTTGACTAATGTGAGCTCCCTCAGGAGGGAGGTCAAGTCTGTCAACGCAGTTTCCCTGACACATAGAAGCTGTTGAACAGAGTGAATCAGCAAAGCAGAACAGCAATACTGATCCTCTGTGTTTCATGAGTGTGTTATTAGGCAAAGCAAATGAAGCATTGGTAGAGTTTTAGAAACAGAAACACTATCCAAAATATATTTTTTTCTTTTCCTTATTACCCAGTAGTTTGCTGTGTGATAGTTTATGACTTGGCCCTTAATTCAGGAAGTAGCACCCTCACATATTTTGAGGGTGACACTTGAGAAAAATCTGGTCTCCTTTATTTGGAGAAATTTACTTACATAGATTCCTGAAGTTTATTCATAATGTTCTTTCTGATCCGTTGAAACCATGCTGAGATCCACTGCCATAACATATATTAATCACAATAAAAAGATTGTGCCACAGGTCCCAGAAAGCTCTGGAATAGAGAAGAGGCTTTTGCTTGCACCTTCAAATTAAAAGGTAGGGGGAAAAGGGAGAAGCTAAAAATGCCCTTATGGAACAGTAGTTACAAAATAGAGGTGTTGAGTTGAACTGTGGAGACTGCTAGTAACTAGGTACAGTTTATTCAGCCAAGTATGTAAGTTTCTGAATTTTCAGTAGAAACAATTAATGGGAAAAATAAATAAAACAATGGTAAAAATTTGTTTTCTCCATGTTTGGACAGGCGGCATCTAAACTGGATTCAGTGGGCTTCCCTCCTGATTTTGTTTTTGTCTATTGTGGCCCTAACCACCAGTACTAAAACTTCACAACATGATTTGGCAGGACACGGATTTCATCATGATTCCTTCTTCACCCCATCCAATTCCTGCCTTCACTTCAGAAGTGAATGTTCCAAAAGAGACAACTGTACAGCAAAGGAGTGGACTTTCAATGAAGCTAAGTGGAACACCACAGCCAGAGTTTTCAGTCACATCCGTCTGGGCTTGGGGCATGTTCTTATCATAGTACAGTGCTTTATTTCTTCAATGGCCAATATCTATAATGAAAAGATACTGAAGGAAGGGAACCAACTCACTGAGAGCATCTTCATACAGAACAGCAAACTCTATCTCTTTGGCATTGTTTTTAACGGGCTGACCCTGAGCCTTCAGAGCAGTAATCGTGATCAGATTCAGAATTGTGGATTTTTTTATGGCCACAATGGGTTTTCAGTAGCCCTTATTTTTGTAACTGCATTCCAGGGCCTTTCAGTGGCTTTTATTCTGAAGTTTCTTGATAATATGTTCCATGTCTTGATGGCCCAGGTCACAACTGTCATCATCACTACAGTGTCTGTCCTGGTCTTTGACTTCAGGCCCTCTCTGGACTTTTTCCTGGAAGCCCCATCAGTCCTTCTCTCCATATTCATTTATAATGCCAGCAAGCCTCAAAATCTTGAATATGCACCTAGGCAAGAAAGGATCCGAGATCTAAGTGGCAGTCTTTGGGAGCGTTCCAGCGGGGTAAGTTTGTGAAAATACATTTTTTTTGTGTGTATTCTTTTGAATTTAAAGTATGGTTATTCAAAAAAAGGAAAAAAAAAGCATCAGTTTATTAGGGAAGTGTATTAGCTCTCTAGGGCTTATGAAACTCATTCTTGGAATTCTGATATATGCAAGGACTATAAACCACAACATCTCAAGGATTTTGTGTGTTAATTATAGAATATAGAGTATAGATCTAAAGGATACCACACTTCTGTCTCATCTATATCCTTTTATTTTTATGGGTAGAGAGTGAACTAGATGATTTTTAGGCAGTAGGTAGACCAGTAATGGGCCTATGAGGTCTGATTCCTGCTTCCTTGATTTTTGTTTTTTTCCACCACACAGTAGTTGGAAAGTAGGCCTTGCTCATTAGAAGAAAAAAAAAAAATTGATCTTTTACATTGTGAAATGGAAAACCTGACTCCTTAATTTTGCCTGTAGTTAAGTACAACCACAGTGTGCCAGAAGAGGAGAGTTTGTCTGTTTTACTAAGAAAGTTTTTTTAAAGGAAGTCTAGAGAAAATGTGTATGCAATTCTGAATGTGTGCTAGTTACCTATAATTGTTTTGGAGGGGTCTTTCAGTTATATGTAAATTAAATAATTTTTTGGAGATTCAAGTAGTTTTTTAAATGAAAAATGAAATGGAGTGTTCTGTATAGCTTCAGATTTACAATTTTCATGGACACAAAGGTGAACTGTTTTATACTGTGAACCCATTCACTCGGTTGCTTACTGAGTTCATGGCAAACCTCTAGGTATCATGTCTCTAATACGACAGGTCTACAGATGAAAAAAAAATAGATCCTTGTATCCCAGACCTCTAAGTCAGCCAGAGTGTACATTCCAAAGCTCTTTCCAGTGGACTGATACTACTGTTTACCCTAGTTTTTAAGTAAAATAAAATCAAGTTAGGTACCAAGACTAGTTTGTATGTTTCACCATCCTTTAATCATTTCCCCTCCAACACCAGCAGGTGGTGCCCCCGGTCCGAGTTGAGTGAATGTTACTTTTTTTAATCATTTCAAATGCTTCTAAATTAACATCCATTTAACTTGGTCAGATTATAAACTGTTTACAGTTTAAATGAACTAAGACTTAGAATTCAATGAATAAGTTCTTTGATTTATATATTTGGTAAAACTTCTCCTTTGTAATTGTTGAAAATTCAACCTTTCTAATTTTGTTCGGCTTACTTACTGATTTCATGTTTCATTTTAGGATGGGGAGGAGCTGGAAAGACTTACCAAAGCCAAGAGTGATGAGTCAGATGACGACACTTTCTAAATGGGACCGATTGGTTGGCAGCTCTCACAAACTGTATTTTCACAATTATCTTTTCACTTTGACAAACTGAGCATGTTTAAAAGCATAATACTGTTTTACATATATCTAACCACTCCATAAACAGCTCCATCCAAGGCTTAGTGTATCCTGGGGGTGACAGAGTTCTAAAGAATTGGCATAGGAATATGAATAGCACTTGATGAGTCAACAGGATATATTTGCAGGTTGTTTTCTTCATCTTCCAAGTTCCAGAAATCATGTTAACTAGATCCTACAAATTTGCCAATAAAGACAGTTTTCCAGGTGCTTATTCTTAGGTGGCATCAGTCTGAGGACTACAGTCTTTTTTTTTTAAATCATTGTAAATACTAAGTTGTCCGTCCAACTTTGAGGTCCTAGAAATAGTCATTTTGTTTTTTTAATTAAAGTAGTAAGACTCTAAAAATTTTAGCTGAAGGACTTAAATGTCCATCTTTTCAGAAACAATTCCAGAATTTTGAATTTTTATATATGGGAAATTTTAACTTTAACCTTAGTAAATTATCTTTTGGGTTTTTTTTTTGTTGTTTTTTTTTCTGAGTCAGGGTCTCCCTGTAGCCCCAGTTGGCCTGGAACTTACTATGTAGACCAGGTTGTCTTCTTCGATCTCTAGGAGAGCCCTCTGCCTTTGCCTCCCCGTGCTGGGATTAAAGGTGTGCACCACCATGCCCAGATTCTTTTGATGTTGTTTAAAGCTTTATCAAGGTGAAAGTTGGTTACAAAGTCATCACAGTTTCCACTTTTATTTTGATCTGCCTAAGCCAATGTGGTTTTTTTGTTTTTCTCAGTCCTCTTCAGTTTGTGCATTTATAAGATCTTGACATCATTACTTTTGAGTTCTTATGTTGTAGGGAATAAATAAGGTGTTTTATTTTGTGAATTATTAATTAAAACTTGTGACTGTTAGATACTTTATTTAATATCCTGTTCCCTATAGTCAAGACACTGCTTTGGAAGTCCTTTACAAGAATCCCTTTCAAAAAAAATACTGACTTTAAATGAAACAGAGTGTTGTTATTCTAAAAGGGGACCAATAATCAGTCAGTTTCTAGCAATAGTTCATATTTACAAGTGCATATTATCTTTCAAGGTACTTTTGCATGCAGCCAATTGACTTCTAGATAGAGTAGTCACATGACAGATAATTAAAAATAGAGTGGTTTGTCCCTGGTCATACAGCTGGATGGTGATAAAAACAAGCTTTAAGCCTGTGTGTTTACAAACTCCTACTGTAAATGTGAATTATAAGACATGAGCTTGCACATCCTTTCTTCTAGTTTTCATGTATTTATATATAAGATAATACTGTTGTTATAATCCATCTGTCTACCCAAAATAATATAACCAGCAATAATTGGTAAAAATTTTCAATTAAAATATTTATTAAACTATGTCTTGTATCTGTGCTCATCGTGTGAGGTGGGATGTGGTATGCTTTTAATTTCCTAAAGTGGAATAAGGCAAAACCCTAAACAACATTGAAAACTTTGTCCTTGGGTAGATCTTAGTATCTTAGAATAATAAAATTCTTTATCATAGGCATCCTCCCCAGAGTTGTGTGAAATGAGAATATTGTATCTATCAAGGTAACTTATTTTAAAGATAAGGAAAATAAGATATAGCAGGGCCTCACCCTTAGGAACTACAGCATGCGGAAACATCTTAACAGATAAAATTGCTAAAGTTTTCTTAACAGAGGTATCGCCTACAGAATATATTAAATAGCAGACTTCAGCAGTATGTGGTAGTTTGATTTTTCTTATTTATAGTTAACTTTTCCCCACCCTTTTTAGAAAACATCTGTTGCTCAACATTGGATTTATTTGTGTTAACTTACTACAGCCTAAGAGAGGCAGGAGCCAGAATTCAAATGTGAGGCTCTGGTATAGACACAGTGGAGTGCTTCTGGAGCATCACTATTTTAAAAGGACAATTTGAAGGGGACAGGTCCAGAAACCATAGTATAGGTGCTCTTGGAATTGAGTGATTGTATAACCTGAAGAGAACAGTTGTCATATGGAACAGGAAATAGACATGGTTCCAACTCTGAAGAACTAAACTATAGTGAAATGACAGGATGACCATTATTCTTATAAATAGGGAAAAACTCCCCATACTTTTCAACAGTTGTAAAGGAAGCAAGGCTGCAAACATTGGTCATAGAAGGAAAGATGGCTTGGGTCAAACCCCAAGCCTTTGGCCAGCTGGTTCTTGCTCCATGGGTTTTCAAGATCCATGTACAGAGGAGCCCTCTCAGAGCAGAAATGCTCTGCTTTACAGCTAAAACTGCCTCTGAATATGCTGTGTGGAAGCCTTGTTGCTTGTGAGGTGAACTAGACCTTGTAGGTTTGTAACTGATAGTGTTGTGGGGATCCTTTTCACTCTGTGCAGGCCCAACTGGCTGGCCAAGGCACAACCAACATCCTCCTCCTCCTCACCTCCTTCCCCCTTTACCTATGGTGGATTTTATCTGTGAACTCTTAACATACCAGGAGGGAGATGAGGAAGAGAAAGCTAAACTCAGTTAAGTGGGTGGTTTTCCCTTTCTAAAGCCTAAAGGAGAGTTACTGAACTTGAATAATTTGAATAATATACATACCCCCCTTTTAATGAAGAAAACATTTCTCACAAGAATTTTTACTATTAAAGTACATTCAAACAGTATGAAATATGACTACTTACCATTCTTTTGAGACAGGGTTTTTATTGTGTAGCCTAGGCAAGACTTGAACTTACTTTTTAGTTTGTACTGGACTTGTAGCAAACTTGTAGCAATCTACCTGCTTCAGCCTCCCAAGTGCAGGAATCGCACCTGTGAGCCACCATGCCTTAAATTTTATGGATGAAAACAAAAACACATTTACAGAATAAAATACAATTCTATAAAATCAGTAAATTATAAATTACAATGCTAACTTAATGAGAAAGTGATACTTTGGTTAAGTAGAGTGACAGTAGACCCTTCACCCTGACAGAAGCCCTGAAGAATGGCCCTCACTTGCTGTTTCAGATGCTTCGAGTACCACCCTTGTGTCTCTGCCAAGATAACAGGCCTGCTGATATTGCTAGCAATGTGTTTAGTCTTGTGAGGACTTGCCAACCCTTGTCGCTAACAGTCTGAGGAGTCTAGCATTGGTCAGACTGCCAGTTCCCACTCCCCTTGGTGCCCTGCAAGGATTTTTAAGCATTAGCTTTAGGTTTTTTAAAAAATCTATTTTTTATTCTTTGAGAATTTATAATTGTATGCAATGCATTTTGCTCCTATTCCCTCCCCATTGCCCAGCTCCATCTCATGGGCCCCCTGCCACCACATCCCCTTTCCAATTTCATGGCCTCTTTTTTTTTTATAATCAAATGAATCCAATTAATGCTTCCCATGTACACATGGGTGTTTGACCATCCATTGGAGCATGGGCAAGCTACCAGGGACCATATCATATCACCAAAGAAAACTGACTCTCCCTACCCCAGCTGCCTTCAACTAACTACCAGTACTTCCTCAGCTAGGAGTAGGATATTGTGATCCCCTACCCCATCCATTCTGGAATCAAAAAACAAATATTTTATTATTTTTTATTTTATGTTTATGAGTGTATTGCCTGGGTGTATGTAAGTGCACCTATGTCATGCAATACCTGTGGAGGTCAGAAGAGGGCATTGAATTCCCCTGGAACTGGAGTTAGGGACTGTTGTTAGCTGCCATGTGAGTCCTGAGAATGAAACTCTGGTCCTCTGCAAGAACAGCCAGTGCCCTTAACTACTGAGCCATCTCTCCAGTCCCCATTCTGGAATTTTGACCAGTTTGATTTTGTACGGGTCTTGTTCAGGCAACCACAGCTGCTTTGAGTTTATGAGTGCAATGCCTTGTTCTGTCCAGATAATACTGTGTTTTGCCCTAATCTTCCCCAACCCCTAGCTTTTTGTTTTGTTTTGTTTTGTTTTGTTTGTGACAGGGTTCCTGTAGCCCCAGCTGTTTTGGAACTGACTATGTAGACCAGGCTGGCCTTGAACTTATGGGGCGGGTCGCTAGACCCCCGGCGTGGTGTGTGCGGGCACCCTGGGGTCTCCGCCACACCTGGCTAGTCCTGGCATGAGTCTGGCCACAAGCGATGTGCGGAGCGTGCCTGGGCTCCCAGGCGCACTCACTCTGGATGTGGCCCAGGGTCAGGTGTGCGTGCACTCTCCAGCCATGGTTCTGGTCCCGCTGGCTAGCTACTGGCGGGCCTGGCCGGCTGCGCCTCTCTGGAGACTGCAAGTGCGCAGACTTCTCTGATGCTGGCTGTAGCTGATAGCTACACACTTCTCTGGAGCGGAGAGCTTCCTCTGCTACTAGAGTATTATCTAGTCGGGATCCCGCCTCTATTACACCCTTGTGCCCTTCCTCAGGATTGCGGAGTCCTGGCCAGTGAACTCCACAGGGAAGAAACACGGAGGCGGCGAAAGCTAGGATATCCGTGGGTCGGTAACGGAGAGTGCTGCTCTCCGGTGAGATCAGGTCGCCGGTAGTAAGACACAGGACTCAAGGCACGGCTTAGTCTGTGTTTACTGCTTTATTGTATCTCTGCTCCTTGCTGTCCAGCGCTCTCCTGATCCAGCTTTCTGAGACCCAATATCCGGGACCCCGTCTCTGACCTGATCTCCTGGTCCCAGTCTCTGACCTGATCTCTTGGTCCCAGTCTCTGACCTGATCTCCTGGTCCCAGTCCCTGATTAAAACCTGGTAACTCCTGTGCCGGAGGGCATGTATTTGTGGCGAGCACTTTAAAAGAAGAGTCAGGGAGTATGCCAGGAAGGCACTCTGCTATGAAAGGAATCTGCAGCACATGGTTTCCGAGCTCGTGAGCTATCCAGACGTGAAGAGACTTCTACTTGCATAACAGAGAACCCCAACAGAACTCACTGAGATCTGCCTGCCTCGGCCTCCAAGTGTTGGGATTAAACGTATGTGCCACAACATCTGGTCTTTTACAGGCTTTTACAGTCTTTCTACCTCCCTTTCTGTGATATTCCCTGGGCTCTGAGGAGAGTGGTACTGCATACATTATTAATTACACCAACATTACAACTACCCTGAACAAAATAAAAGCTGGACTCTTAAAATAAGTTTTTAAGAATTGGCCCAAACTTGGAGGACACTAATTCCCCTAGCTGTCTATTAGAACTGTCTGTCTCCCAGAACTGTGCAATGGATCTCTCTTGTTGAAACCTCACCCTGTACAGATGGCACTATCTGTGTCCTCAATCTGTGCCAATAAAACTGACTCTGGAACCCAGTTTCTTCATTATCTTTTTTTTTTCAATAAAATATATTTTTTTTTAATTAGAAGAAGTGTTTCATTACAACAGTATTAACCTATTCAATAACATTTTTCTGAGCTAGGGTACATCTCTTTCAAAATTGGCTGTACATTTCTAGGTTTACAGATGAATTATTACCCTTATATAATCTTTTACTCATTATAAACTCTATAAGACATAAAATTAAATGAGGTTCCAACGTTTAAAAAAGATCTCCACTTCGTTGTCAAAACACACAGTTTCATACAGAAAAATTAATTCCAAGGCAATTGACAATGAGACGTTTTACCATGCATTTCTGATATCTATATACATGACTATCACTGGTCACAGTCGCCCGCCTTCTGAGCTCCTCGGCATCTGAGCATGAATACAAATTCGTCAGATAGACAGCCTTCCTCTCCCACTAGAGGCTCCATACTCTGCCATCCCTGTCACTGTCCACTGTGTTGTCAGCACCCTCAT